GACGGGATACCCTCCCCTGAGCCCACCCAGCCCCTGTTTCCCCACCACCTGCTCCACAGAGCCCATGTCTGGGGGCAGCGGTGCCTCCTGCCCATCCCGGCTATGCTGCTAGCGTAGCCGGGATGGGCAGGAGGCACTGCTGCCTTGGGCAGAGCCACCAGCAATGCAGCCTGCACTGGGAATGGAAAAGCAAGACCAGCCCAGCGGGAGCAGGATGGAGGCAGCAAGAAGCACAAGCCCCAGGGCAGCACACCCCATGCCAGTACCCCGCCGGAGAGCCATCTGCACCACCCGGCCCAGCCGGAGCCACACAGGGAAGAGGGACCATGGGTGTCTGGATGGGACCTCTCGGTGCTGCACCTGCCTAGGCTGCCCGTGCCAACCTGGCTTACCAGGGAAGAACAAGCTCTTCTTGGAGGCTTGCAAGTCCCACAGCAGCACCTCTTCAACCATTCAGCCCTGGCAGCCCAACTTTTGACCGTGCCGCGGGTTTGCTCAGAGCCAGGGCTCACCCGGACAGCACAAAGCCTACCAGTGCTGGCGGCACGGGACTTGCTTGTGGCCCCGTTCCCTCACCGCTATCCTGGGAACAGGGCACAAGCGGGCAAATTCACAAAGGGCAAATAAAAGCAGCTAGAGGATGCTAGGGGGAGGGAAGGTGATGCCCATCCCCAAGTGATCCCTGCAAAGCAATGGCAGATGCCATTTCTGTCTGTCCCTTCCCCCAGCTCTACAACCCCTCCCAGCACCAGCTGAGGTTGCCAGAGGACGCACAGACGGGGCCAGGCTGTGTGTCTGTAACCTGCCCTTTCCTACCTAGAGCAAACCACCCCAAAACTGTCTTGACCTGAGTCAAACATCAGCTGCTGCCGGCACAGGGTTGAGATGACAGCCAGGGCCCCATGGCGTTTCTGGTCATGGGGGACGAATGGGAAGTGCTGAGCAGTGGGAGCATGGAGCAGGACCCAGGGCAGCAATGCTCCCTGCCTGCTGCACCCCCAGCCCAGGATGGGAGCTGTGGTACCCACTGCCTGGGGCTGCAGGGCAGGAGCACAGCAGGCAGAGCCCCACAGCAGCATCACAGGCAAATACTCACTCTTTAGCTTGGAGCGCACTTTGTTCGCTGTCTTCTTTATGTCAGACATCAGCTCTTCCAGCTCCTCCTTCGTTTCTGGGGAGAAAGAGAAGAGCAAACACAGATGTGTTGGAGACAGCTAAAATCTGCTGCCTGGCCCCATAGCATGTGGAGACCAGAGCTGCGAGCACTCCCACCTCCAGACTGGGAGCACTTCCACTCCACGCACCCTGCTGGACTCTCCTCACTGTCCTGAGCCTGGAAATAACCCTGCTGCTGGTCAGGCAAGCAGGGAGCCGGGGAGCCGTTCTGCAGGACCCCCTGCCCACACAGCCCTAACCTACCCTATACCCAGCACTCTGCAGAAAGTGGAAGGGAAGGGACACACAATCCACAGTGCTGGTTCCTGCAGTGGAGAGAAAACCACTGCTGCAAACCAAAAACCTTCTGCTCACCAAGGGCTGGTCTCCCCAAGCCCCTGCCACGCAGGCAAGCCTTCCCCAGGGTGTTACAAAAGGTCACGTCTTCCACTGGCACCCCCTGACTAACAGCCAGTGTATGTGTGTTCACTCCCCAGCCTGAATTTGCTGCTTTTGGCAGAAAAGTAGGAGCTGAAGCAGCCAGAAACGGCCCCCCAGTCCCACAGCCCACATCTCAGGAATGACTCTGAGCAGCCCAGCAGTGACGGGAGGGTGTAAAGCAATTCTCGTATTTCAGGGGCAGGGGCACAGGAGTTGCAAATAAAAACAAGTACAAGCAAGTCTCTGTCCCCACGGGCATCCCATGCGTGCCTGCGCGACCTGCATGCGCTCCCACTGGGAAAAGAGCCCTGCTGAGCACGGAGCCCGTCGTGAGTCTCAGCATCTCCCCAAGGCCGCCTCTCCAAGACTGCGAGGGCTTTTTCAAGAGTCTCCCGGGCTGCCAGGACTATTGACTCAGCTAGAGAGAGGAGGAAACTACAGCATATGCCACACTTGAGAGAAGTAAATCAGCTGGGAAAGTTCTGAGCCCTGCCTGACCGATGGGATCTGGCACAGGGCTATCTGCCCTTACTCCTTTGAGCAAATGCCAGGAATCGGCTCTGAGCTCACCACCACTGACAGCACAACCATTGCAATGTCTCCGGGCACTCGTGTCTTGTAGGACTTTTCTCTGCATTGCAGCAGCATCTCCAAGCCACAAGCCATGCTTGGCAAACCCGGATCGGAGCAAAGCTCCTTGATTAGCCCTGCAGAGAAGGACTGAGGAATATTGGTGGGTGACAAATGGGACATTAGCTGGCAATGTGGGCTTGCAGCCCAGAAAGCCAAGCGTCTCCTGGCCTGCATCACCAACAGTGTGGCCAGCAGGTCGAGGGAGGGGATGCTCCCCCTCTGCTCCGCTCTCCTGAGACCCCCCCTGCAGCACTGTGTCCAGCTCTGGGGTCCCCAGCGCAAGACAATGGTTTTAAACTGAACGAGGGTGGGGTTAGGTTGGACATAAGGAAGAAATGTTGTACCATGAGGGTGGTGAGACACTGGCACAGGTTGCCCAGAGAAGCTGTGGATGCCCCATCCCTGGAAGTGTTCAAGGTCAGGTTGGACGGGGCTTTGGGCAACCTGATCTAGTGGCAGGCGTCCCGGCCGCTGGCAGGGGGGTTGTACTGGATGATCTCTGAAGGTCCCTTCCAGCCCAAACCGCTCTGTGAGTCTGATCTCAGCCAGGTTCCTCTCTCAGAAACGAGTGTCCTCAAAGGAGCCGAGAAGTGCAGGTGTGCCCCTCACCACGCTGTGCTTCAGAAACTGCCAGACCCCTCCGAGCGCAGCAGCAGGGCTGGACTGGGGGGCACAGCACCTGTGCCCAGCACGCAGGTACCCAACCATGCTCTGCCTGGGCAGCCCTTCATGCTGCGCAGCTGCAAAAAGGCTGGGCGGTACGAAATGCCCTGTGCTCGCCCATGGGCTTGTGGCAGCCCAGCTGGCTTGCCAGGGACGTAACTGTGCCCCAACCGTGGGACCAGCCAACCCCAAAACTCAGCAGTGAGACCAGCACATTGCAATATCTCAAGATCCAGATACTAAAGAAAGTACAAACCACCTGCCATTCAAATATGATTTCTCGGAAATGCTGCCACCCTAATGCTCCCTCTTGATTTTGATGAGATCAAGACTTACTTAATTAAATAAACTTTGTTTAATAGACTCTAGGCACATTAACTGAGTCATTTCAATGGCTGTGGTAGCTCTGATGCTGTACGCTCGCAGCTGGCAGTCACAGGCATAATTAGAAAATCATGATGATGGGAATGTGCTGGGGGAAGGTCACATCCTATCGACGGTTGTACACATTTCTGACTCAGAGCTAAGAGCTCCAGCACTATTGGGAAAAGGAGAAAATGAACACGTCTGCGAATACCTTCACCCCAGGCTCCAAGTATTTCTGAGCAAGCCAACACAGCGGCCTCACCAGGGGAAGTGGTACAATTATGTATTTGCTAGAGAATAAGCACAAATGCAGGGAAAGGAAGAGGACATTTCCAGTTTGAGTTCTCGTTTAAGTGACTAATTATTTATTTTTTTCCCCGTTCTTGAAGAACTTGTATTTAATAAAGAAATAAACCAGCCTGGGCTGAGTAACTCCCTGCACCCAGACAGGCTGGGGCCAGCTGACGGGGAAGCAGACAAAGACCCAGGAGTGCCGGGGGACAACAGGCTGCCATTAACACGGGGACAGACCGAGAACTGGGTTTGTCCACCTGGAAAGGGGAAAGAGAAGGGGGTTCCTACTGCTGCCTACGACTACCCAGCAGAAGGGTAGAGAGAAGCTGGAGCCACACTTCCTGCTGGTCATTGGAGGTGACCTTCAGCTTCTTGCTGAAGCTTGGAGGTGCACAGGGACAGGACAAGCAGTGATGGACCAAGCAGGGACAAACAAAATTCAAATTAGATATTAGGAAAAAAAATTGTCATCATGAAGGCGGTCAAACACTGGAGCCAGAGAGGCTGTGGGATGCCCATCCTTAAGGATATTCAGCATTTGGCTGGGTGAAGGCCTGAGCAACCTGATCTAATGTACCTGCTGGAGGGTACTGGACCAGGGACCTCCAAGGTCCCTTCCCACCCATATCCACCTTCAATCCTACAAGACAATTTCACGTAACTCACTGCTATGTACTGTTCCTTCTCCCTGTCAGTTCAGGCTGAGGGATACACTGCAGTGATGCCATCACTGAGGACGCACAAGGCAAGTGGTGAGCGCAGGTGAACATCCCCCCATGCTGGCCACTCAGGAAGGGGACAAGGACCACGTGAACGGATGGAGGGGACATGGGACGGGGAGCTAGGCTGACTTCCTTCACAGTATTTCCAACTGAGCAGCAGGTGGAAAACACTCCTTCTGGCTGTCTTTGAGTCACAGGACATGTGAGGATTACTTGGCGACCTGGCAGGCACAGGCTTCCCAGACAATTATTTTCACATCCATGGCGTCTGTTTAAGTGACTCACTCAAATCTATTTAACCGTTCACGGCGAGTAACATTCAGCAACAGGAAGCTGGAAGTACCACAACATCACCGCCGCTACGGCCGGAGTCACCCCGGCGAGCAGAGCAGTGCTAAGGAGCAAGACGTGATGTTTAAAAGGACGGGCCAGGCTCCCTGCATCCCACAGACCACCGGGACGGCTGCTCCACTCCTGCTGGCACTGAGCACAGCAGGGCAGCAGGGATGCTCCCATGGCCACCAGCACCGTGGGGCCATGTCCCCAGTCCCCGCTGGGAGGGGGGAGGAGGCTTTGATCCAGGGTCGAGCCTTACGCCCCCGAGAAGCCCCAGGGCCCACTGTGACCTGCCCTGGAGGGGAGCCCAGGCAGCACAGGGGAGGCAGGGGTGAGGGCAGGGGTGCAGGCAGCACTGGGACCTCTTTCTCCCCCCCCTCTGCCAACAGCACCGGGCACCGACCTGGCAGAGGGCAAACGCCCGGCCCAGGCTGGTAACACCACTCAGCTTCAGCACATCCTCAGCTGCTTGGGAAAGAGGAAAAACTGATTCCCTCGTCCTCCCCTTCCCCGCAGCTCTCCGAGTTCCCAAAAGCGTCCCCCATGCTTGTCCCGAAGGGGACAAACACAAGGAACCAGCACCCAGAGCTGCCACATAGGATGCTACTCAGGGCAGGGGGGGGACTCCTGCCTGCAGCCCAACGCTTAGCATTGACGTTCACCATTATCAATAAAGGAGGAGGGAAAAAGCCTCCAAACCCCCCAGCAGTGAGCAGGAGGGTAGCAGCAGGCAGGCAGGCAGGCAGCAGACCACCACCCTTCACAGTTAACCGCAGGCGACTGACACCTGCCTGCTGCAGCACATCTGAGCATCACCGTGACGGTGACTTTGCACACATGATATGGTTCTCAGCCGTCGAAGCTTCCTCACTCACTTGTTGTTCGGATTAATAAACCTTCACCTCTTTGTGACCTGCAATTCTTTACTGACAACAACCAACCAACGTTATCAAGAAAAGTACAATTTCAAACTAATTCATAGCTGAGTTACCTGACAAAGCTAGGAAGAAGGATCTTTTTGGCAAAGAGCTAGCTCTTTCAATAAAAAATTAAAGAAGATCCTGACCACAGTTCCTCCAAGGAAATTTTAAAAAATAAACCTTTCTTGCCTTAAAATTTTTCTTCTGTCTCTTGCAGGTTGCCATTGATGTGCCTGTTTATCTTGGCACTTACATTTACGAATTGTAGGGTATTTTTTAAAGGCAAATGCAAAGAGGAAGCACAGACCTGGCAGCCCCACGAGCTATCCAGTCTCTGGGAGCAAACCATAAGGAATCCTTCCTAGGGATCTACGGAGTTGGTTGAAACATTTTCCATAATGTTTCGTGGCCTTAAAGTAATAAAAATGAAACGTTTTAAAAACCACCAGGGAGGAGATTGGCTAGAAAGGCTGTTCCAGCCCCAAGCTGGGAACTACTGACCAGTCAGCCTCACCTCCATGCCTGGTAAGATCATAGAGCAGATCCTCCTGGAAGACGTGTCGAAACATATGGATGACAGGGAGGTGATGAGAGACAGTCAACATGGCTTCACCAATGGCAAATCGTGCCTGACTAAGCTG